CCGCCACCTTAGGTGTATGTGGCTGGCGCCTTAGCCACTTGAGCCACAGGCGCCGAGCCGAGACTCTGTCTTTAAATAAATATTGAAAACTCCTTAAAACTGTATAATTCAGTAGTTCATAGTATTTCAAAAAGTGTGCAAACATCACCACTATCTACTTCTATTCTATTACCATTGCCCTGACCCTGTGCCCATTGGCAATCACTCCCCACTCTTCTCATCTCATACATAGTTTTACAAATTATTTTTTCATGGGATGATAGGCTCTGGGAATCTACACACAGCTGCTTCTAATTTGACCTATCTGTGCCCCTTACATGTCCTCATTGAGTACTGCACCATAAACGGGGAGGGGACACAGTCCAGTGGAGGGGGCTGAGAAGAGACTGCAAGTCTCATCACTGACTGCGCCTGGAGCCTGTCTCCTTACAACAGCTGTGTCTTGTCTGTCCCACCTCGTGGAGGGATTCTGTGCAGGAATGGAAGGGCTGACTGATGCACCCTCAAGGTGGCACACAGGACTGCTGAAGCCAAAATTCCAATGGCAAATCTTTTGAGTGACTCCGGGAAACAGGCCACTTTTTCATCAAGAGTATATTAATAAAAAAAGGTGAGAGGCCTTCTCCATAGCTGTCTAACTGTTCACACCACCTGGCACCTTGTCTGCAGTACACCCCTTCCCACTCAGAATGGGCAACTCCTGTTCTAGGTCCCAGCTTAGGCGGCTGGAGATTACCTTGACACCCTGTTTGTATCCCTGTGGCCACCACAGCACTTCCTCTTGCGTGCAGAGCTACTAGTTTGTCTGCTTGTCCCTGCTGTCCCTGCTGTAAGCAGCTTGGCAGCAGGAAATTTGTCTCTCATGCTGGCATCTGCAGATCCAGCACCTCCATTCTTCTCACAAAATGGCTACAGAATACCCTTGTGTTTGAAGGAGCAGAGCAGTCAGTCGGTGACTGAGCAGAGGATGCTGTGATACCGTCTGCCAAAGTTTAGTTTTTACTTTTGTTGAGACAGAGTCTCACTGTGTCGCCCTGGGTAGAGTGCTGTTGCACCACAGCTCACAGTAACCTCAAATTCTTGGGCCCCAGCAATCCTCTTATCTCAGCCTCCCTAGTAGCTAGGACTACAGGTGCCGGCTGCAATGCCTGGCTTGTTTTTAAATTTAATTAATTTATTATTTTGTAGAGATGGGGTCTCACTCTTGCTCAGGCTGGTCTCCAACTCCTGAGCTCAGGCAATCCACTCACCCTGGCCTCCCAGAGTGCTAGGATTATAGGTGTGAGCCACCTTACCTGGCCCTCCATCTGCCAAAGTTAAGGGCAAGGGTGCACGGGGCAGACAATCTCAACACTCATCTCCTCCCACCAGCCTGTTCACTGCAATTAGATTTTTCCCCCATGGAGCTTGAAGCTGTTTCCAAAGGAAAGTGGCAAGAGGGAAGAAACTAGCTGCCATGTTGGTGCAGCAGCAGTTCTCAATGCTTTCGGAACTGACTGCAAATAGATGGATGAAGAGGGCTATTTATTAGTCTGATTATGCCTTAGCCTATCCGAGTCTATTTTGGGAGTGTGAGTGCACTTAAGTGGGGACCGGGGGATATTCAAAATATTTGGCAGTTGCTGAGACACAGGCACTCAGCAATTGGAACAGACTGAGCCCACAGCTGATGAGGCTTATTGACGCCTTCTGGTCAAGGCCAGCCCTACACAGGTGGGAGCAAATATAGCAATTACTGTTGTCACCACCTCCTTTGCAGAAACAGACACATGTGAGGTGGTATGCTAAGTCAGGAAACTTCACATATGTGTGGCTTCCCATGTTCCTAACACAGATGCTGACTTCTCCTTAGAGCAGAAGCTTAATGAGCATGCAGTACTTTTACCTCTATTGTTTTAATTAATCCTCCTGTAAAACTGGAGTAGCAGAGGTTAACGCCACTCACTTCATAGCTGAGGAACCTGCATCTCACAGAACTTAGTTAATTCACTTACAGACTCCTGAAAAGAAAATGCAAATCCAGCATGTAAAGCCAGATATTTTGCCTCTATATTGGGTAACAGCTACCTCCGAAAAGGGGTCCTTATCTCAGGACTCAGAGGTGGTCTCCAGGAGGCTGCGAACAGCTTTCACCTTAAAGTTGAAATTGTACTCACAGCTGAGTGTAGGAGTTTTTCTATGGAGAGTCCAGAGTGGTATCAGATTCTTATAGGTGGTCATAATCCAAAAAAGGTTAAGAAACCTCTGCCTCAACAGGTGCGGTGGCTCATGCCTATAATCCTGGCACTCTGGGAGGCTGAGGCGGGTAGACTGCTTGAGCTCAGGAGATTGAGACCAGCCTGAGCAGGAACAAGACTCCATCTCTACTTAAAATAGAAAAACTAGCCAGGGGTTGTAGCAGGCATCTGTAGTCCCAGGTACTTGGGAGGCTGAGGCAAGAGGATCATTTGAGCCCAAGAGTTTGAGGTGGCTGTGCGCTGTGATGTCATGGACTCTGTCTCAAAAAAACACAAAAACCAAAGAACTCCCCCAAACTAAAAAAGAAATCTCTGCTATAAGGCAGTATTATGCTGACAACTTAGTGAATGAAGAGCATGTCAACAAGCAAATCCACATTAAAACATCTAAGAGGCCAAGGCTCTTCCTAGAAGGAAAAGGCAGGCAACTCAGAGGGGACTTAGTCTCTAGTCCAAGTTCTCCAGGTCAAGTGCAGCACACTCAGTAGTTGCCTAATGACAACTGGGCTTTCCAGCTCTTGTGGGGTGTTCCCTCTATACAACCAGTGCCAATAAGGGGTGAGATCTGGACCCAGCCATTGACATGCACCTATTACCCGGGTCCCTCAATCAGATACGCACCAGCTCAAGTCTCCTACTCCGCAAGTAGAAAGCAGAACATACTCTTTCTAGAGTATATCTGGATTATTGCTTTCATTGGTCTACCTGGCCAAGAGCAAGTTGGTAAAAAAAAAATCCATAAATGCTGAAAAGCATCAATGAAAGCATGTTATTCATTCATTCATTGATCACTCATTCATCAAGACAGAGTCTCAGTCGCTCTGGGTAGAGAGCCATGGCATCATAGTTCCCAGCAATCTCAAACTCTTGGGCTCAAGTGACCATATCATCTCAGCTTCCTGAGTGGCTGGGACTACAGGGGCCCGCTATAACACTGAGCTAGTTTTTCTATTTTTAGTAGAGATGGGCGTCTCTCTCTTGCTCAGGCAGATCTCCAACTCGTGAGCTTAGGTGATCCACCTGCCTCAGACTCCCAAAATGTTAGGATTACACGCATGAACTCACTGTTTTAACCTTTTTTGAAAGCGTGTTTTGGAAAAGTATATGTTTATTATGTTCCTACGGTGGATTTGGCACTGTTCCATGCACAGTGATCAAAGAATGCTGCCAAGCAACTCAGGCTGGTCATGGGCCTGATATATAAATATGAGACAATTATAACAGGGGGGGTTAATGCTCCACAGTCACCCTCAAAGACTGCTAGACATGGGAGGAAGGGTGGTGTCTGCTTATAGCACCTAGGAGGGCTTCACAAAGTAGGTAACTTCCCATTGCCCTGAGGGGAGGAAAAGGCTGACCTCCAAAAAAGCACAGGTAAAGGTGTCACAGGTGTTCTATTGTCTATAAGGTACTTTCAGCTTATTTATTACCTGTGAATTATGTAAATTAGTTCGTACTAGAAGACTCTAGGAATTCATCCCCTAGGGTAGATAGCATGTCACTGTACTTAATACAAGTCTAAATTATAGAGGCAGCCACTAGGTATACATACCTTCAGCTTTCCAAGTCTACACTTGAGAATTTGCTGACCAATAAATAATTTATTAGGGATAATTTTGCTCTGGGGAGGCTTGGTGCCTGTAGCTCAGTGGCTAGGGCGCCAGCCACATACACTGGAGCTGGCGGGTTCGAACCCAATCTTGGCCTGCCAAACAACAATGACAATTACAACAAAAAAATAGCCGGGCATTGTGGTGGGTGCCTGTTGTCCCAGCTACTTGGGAGGCTGAGGCAAGAGAATAGCTGAAGCCCAAGAGTTTGAGGTTGTTGTGAACTGTGATGCCACAGCACTCTACTGAGGGTGACATAGTGAGACTGTCTCAAAAAAAATTTTTTTTTTTTTTTTTTGCCCTGGGGAGTAGTGTGATACTCAAGGTGTGAGGATTGGCTAGAAAAATGTAGGCATCTTTTCCCTTGTAGGAATGGGCCACAGAATCCGGAAAGCTCATTAGCCTAATGTTCTTCAGGAGATACTCTAGGGGTAGGATTCAGGAAGGTTCTATGGCCCATCAATGAACATAAGTGTTTGTTGCCTGACTTAAACTGACTTAGTAAGGTAAATTGAATACAGCTGCTAGAAAATTGGCACATTTGCTTCTAAAGAAATATTCATGCAAAGTACCTGGTCAAGCTGGGGGCTCGCTGATCCCTTTGAGAGCAGGTTGCATGACTGTTTCTGTGGCTTGTTAATCAACATTTGCACATGTGGGCAATTTAGCCTGAGAACTAGTTTTCCTGCAGTGATAGCCCCTGGTAGGGAGGTTGGAGGACCAGAGGCCTGTGGCTTCTCTATCCTCAGTAGTGCGTGGATAGTCCAATTGGCAGGCCAGTTTGTGAGAGTTCCCAAGCAGCTAGGTGCTGCAGGGCTGTCTGTGCAAGCATTTTCAAAGTCCTGCCAGACACTGCTACATTTTCTGCTTCTGACAGCAACCACTGAATCTAAACAAAAGGCATGTGATCCTTTCCAATCCATGGCTCTTTTTTTTGCAGTTTTTGGCCGGGGCTGGGTTTGAACCCACCACCTCCAGCATTTGGGGCTGGCGCCCTACTCCTTTGAGCCACAGGAGCTACCCCCCATGGCTCTTTTTTTTTTCCTGCCAAGTCTCTTACTGTCCTTAAAACCATGCTTGACACTATCTCCAAGGCTTCTGCCTACTCCCTCGTACGGAGTTCCTTCTCTCTAGTGCTCCCACAGCAATGTCCAACACCATTTCCATCATGTTAGTCCGACAGCCGGGCGTCCTTAACCATTCCATGATTTAATCCAAAGTGCACGTGTCATGACATTTCCTGGCATTAATTATTTGCCTTGAACAGGATCAACATCTGTAGGGGATTTCTCCCACTGGCAAAAAAGAACTGCCATAAGCAGTAATTCCAAATCTAAAGGCAGACCCTTGCTCAAGTCTGCCACCTGGTGTCCTGTCAATAAAGACCTGCACTTCCTTGGCTTGTAGGATTTAATATTGCATCAAACTCAGTTCCTTTTTTTTTTTTTTTTTTTTTGGAGACAGAGTCTCAAGCTGTTGCCCTCAGTAGAGTGCTATGGCATCAGTAGCTCATAGCAACCTCCAACTCTTGGGCTCAAGAGATCCTCTTGCCTCAATTTTTCCTTTTTTAGTAGAGACGGAGGTCTTGATTCTGCTCAGGCAGGTCACCCACCTCAGACTCCCAGAGTGCTAGGATTACAGGTGCGAGCCGTAGCACCCAGCCTCACCTGGGGAGCTTTAAAAATCCCAGTGCCGTGGCAGCAGGGACACTGTCCATAGTGATAATCTCTAGGAGTGGGACCCAGGGATGCACATTAGAAACCTGGGTGTACTTTTCAAAAATGTGCTTCCCAAACGCACCCTGAATGACTACATCAGAATCTCTCAGAGGTGGGGACCAAGTCTTTGATTTGCTTTTTTTTTTGAGACAGAGTCTCAAAAAGTCGCCCTGGGTAGAGTGCTGTGGCGTTACAGCTCACAGCAACCTCCAACTCCTGAGCTTAAGCGATTCTCTTGTCTCAGACTTCTGAGTAGCTGGGACTATATAGGCACCTGCCACAACACCTGGCTATTTTTTGTTACAGTTGTCATTGTTGTTTAGCTGGCCCAGGCTGAGTTAGAACCTGCCAGCCTCCGTGTATGTGGCTGGCACTGTAACCATGAGCGATGGGCACTGAGCCCCAAGTCTTTGCATTTAACTACAGTAGAACCTCTGTAAGTTGACCACCCAAGGTCAACAATAACAAACTGGCCAACATATGGAGGTGGTCGACATAAGGAACTAGGCCTACTGTACTGATCCATCCATGTGATGCATGTCTGGTCTATGAAAATTAGGAGGTGATCAATGTAGGGAGGTGGTCAACTATGGAGGTTCTGCTGTAATTCTTCAGCGATCATCTTACACGTGTTGAAGACCTATCAGTTTAGTTCACTGTTCCCCATGACTGCTTGCTTGACAAACACATGCCCAGGCCCTCCCTCCCCACTCACCATTTACCTTCATGGGTATTGAGTGAAACTCGAGAATCTGAATTTTTAAACAAAAATAAGGCTCAGAAAGGTGGAGTGATTTGCCCAGGGTCACAAGGCTGGTAGAGCTGGGTTTTAACTTGAACCCTAGTCTTTTGGTCCCACCACAAGCCCATGCAACTTGATGCTTAATTCTGCTAGAGGGGAATTCTTCATTTTACTGTGCTAAAATTCTTAGGGAGGAAAATAAGCCAAGAGGTACCCCAAAGGAGACATCATAGTCCTCAAATGTGTAAGGCTTGTCTGCAAGGTCTTCAAAAAACTCTGCTAAGGAGTCCAGCGTTTCCTCTGCTAGTCTCTCATAGGTGGTGTCATCTAGAGAACTGCAGGGGAGAAAAAAAACAACCAGCAAAAACCCAGAATTATCAGACTGCTCCATTTCATTAATATCAAAGCCACACATTTATTTTTAAGTCTTTAAAATTGATGGAAAATGTCTAACATGTACAAAGTAAAAATTTAAACAGCACAGAAGGGGTTACAGAGAGAAGCCTTTCTTCCAAATAGGCAGCCCCACCCCATAGACAACCATGATTAATAGTCTTTTTTGTATCCTTTTACTGTGTATTATTCTTAATCTACAGATGAAGCATCGTGCATTTTTACCGAATATGTCTTATGAATTGTTCTACAGTAACACACATGAATTTTTAAATAACATGTCCCAACGGAGGTTGTTTCCATTGCTTTCATTATTAAAATTTATGAACACAAAATGTGAGAAAAATATTTCATTATACATATTTGAAAAAGGACTTAACCAGAATATATATAAAGAACTCCCACAAATCCATAAAAAAGCAAACCCAATAAATAAATGGGCAAAATACCTAAACAGGTTTCACTTAAAAAGATGTCCAAATGGCCAATGAACACATGAAAAGGTGTTCCACTTTTATTCTTATTTATTTAGTTTTTGAGACAATGTCTTACTGTATTGCCCAGGCTAGACTTGAACTCCCAGTCTCAGGTGATCTTCCTGCCTCAGCCTCCTGAGGAGTTGGGACTACTGGCATGTGTCGGCTTGCCCAGCTCAACTTTATGACTCTTCAGGAAATGCAAATTTAAAAAAATCAGGCAGGGTCCTGGTGGCTCTCGCCTTTTAATTTTAGCACTCTGGGAGGCCAAGACAGGAGGATTGATTGAGGCCTAAGCATGAGAGATCCCATCTATCCAAAAAATAAAAAAAGAAAAAAGAAAAGAAAAAATTGGCCCAGTGCAACTATATAGTTTTGGCTTAGTGGGAGGCTGAGGCAGAAGAATCACTTTAACCATATGAGGCTGCAGTGAATTGTGATGACACCACTGCACTCTAGCCAGGGCAACAGAGCAATACCCTGTCACACACACACACACAAATCACAATGAGATGCTACTAGAATAGTTAAAATAAAAGAGACAGATAGTATCAAGTGTTGGTTAGAAGAGAGGGTGCCAGAATTTGCAGGTACTGCTGATAGGGAGTAGACTGGACAATCACTTTGGAAAACTGTTGGGCAGTATTATCTACTAAAGTTGAACATATTCATATACTGGGACCTGTTAATTCCACTCTGGAATTGCTGGGGGTATACTGGGGTATAATGGTATACCCCCCATATGCTGGGGGTATACTCAGCAGAAAAGTATACCCAGGTTTACCAAAAGACTATATACTATACTAGACAGTCATAGAACTATCCTGGCTCAGCACCTGTGGCTCAGTGGCTAGGGCACCAGCCACATACACCAAGGTTGGCGGGTTCAAACCTAGCCTGGGCCTGCTAAACAACAATAATAACTACAACCGAAAAAATAGCTGGGCATTGTGGGGGTGTCTGTAGCCCCAGTTACTTGGGAGGCTGAGGCAAGAAGATTTCCTGAGCCCAAGAGTTTGAGGTTGCTGTGAGCTATGACGCCATGGCACTTTATCAAGGGCAACAAAGTGAGACTTTGTCTCAAAAAAAAAAAAAAAAAAGGAAAGAAAATGATCTGGAATTAGATAGTAGTGATAATTACACAACCTTGGGAATGTACTAAAAACGAATCATCTATTTTAAACTGATTAATTTTATGGCTTGTGAATCATATCAATAAAAATATTGTTATAATAAACATCCTTAGGAGAGGTGCCTATGGCTCAAAGCAGTAGGGCACCAGCCCCATATGCTGGAGGTGGTGGGTTCAAATCCAGCCCCGGTGAAAAACTGCAAAAAAATATAATAATAAAAATAAAAAAATAAACATCCTTCTAAGAGGTTTTGAGTCCTGGTGAGGATTTATCTGTAGGTTATAAAATGTAAACTGGGCAGCTCCATTACCTATGAGTTTCCAAGGGGCCTAAAGACACTATGACCATCACCCCCACCCTAGACCATCACCCACTTCATGGGGACAATGTGGATCAACCCACAACAGGGCTGATCCTATTGGTGAGAGGTTGTTCTTTAAAGAGAATGGTTGGCCTCCTAGCCTGTGTTTTGGGAGCTGGAAAGAATGGAGAGGAGAGGCTGGTTGATAGATGTCCATGAAGAATCTGGTAAACACAAAGACACATCTGACTCATGTGTCAAGAGCTTGGCAGGGGCTGGGCACAGGGAGGCCTCCCACATAATCCTAGCTCTTTGGGAACCTGAGGCAGAATTGTTTGACACCAGGAGTTCAAGACCAGCCTGAACAAGATAGCAAGAACCTGTCTCTACCAAAATAAATACATAAATAAATAAATAAATTAGCCAGGTGTGGTGGTATAAGTCTGTAGTCTTAGTTACTTAGAAGGCTAAGCCAAGAGGAGCACTGCTTGAGCCCAGGAATTTGAGGTTGCAATGAGGTATGATGGCACCATTGCACTCTAGCTCAGGAAACAGAAGACTATTTCAAAAAAAAAAAAAAAAGCTTGTACTATGTACTACCTGATAGCAGACAGGTGGGCCACAGCAGAAGCAAGATATAGCAAGACAAAGGTGTGCTTCCCAGAGGCCAGAATTAGACCCCAAGGACGGGAATGGGACTTGGAGCATCCTTCAAGTGCCCCCACCAACCTTGCAGGACTGCCTGGAAGGGTGAAGGGACAGCAGCAGAGAGGAGGGGCTGGGGAGTGCCAGAGCAGGGGCTGGAAACCTAGACAGGCAGCATGCTTGCCCCTTAGGGACTCTGTGCAGGGGTCACTGAACAGAGACAGGAGGTTGGGAAGCTCCTGAGGCTCTTTGTGGACCATGCAAAGCCCTCTGCAAAGCTGCTGCCTGAGCTACCCTGGAAGGCCCAGAGTCAGCCTACTGAGCATAAGGCCCTGGGGACAGGATGTTCCTGTGTATGCCTGGCTTCCTGCTGCTACTACCAGATGTGACAAGGAATCAGTGAGCCAGGAGAAAACTGGGCCCTGTGCAAGCAGATGGAATAAAATGGAGCATTTAGAGGTGAAAGGCTGCAAGAACACAGAAAAGTCAAAAGGAGAAGCTAGGGCTTTGAACAACAAAGGCCTCCCATTAAGTCAACAATAAACCTCACCCTGTTGCATAAACCAGGTTGAGGGTATTGCTGGTCCCCAATCTTAAGACAATCTCAATGTTTTTTTTGAGACAGAGTCTTACTATGTCACCCTTGCTACCAAGTACCAAGTACTGCGGTATCACAGATCACAGCAACCTCTAACTCTTGGGCTTAAGAGATTCTCTTGCCTCAGCCTCCCGAGTAGCTGGGACTACAGGTGCCTGCCACAACACCCAGCTATTTTTTTGTTACAGATGTCACTGTTGTTTAGCTAGTCGGGTTTGAACCTGCCTGCCTTGGTGTATGTGGCCAGTGCCCTACCCATTGAGCTACGGGCGCCGCCAGTCTTGTTTATATGATTTAAGGCATCTTCCCACAGGTGAGGGGTCTGGGTGTGGGGCGTACAAAGAAACAGGCAACTTGAGCTTCCTATCTAGGGAAGAAATTTGGATGTGGTTCTTGGCATATGGGATGGACTGAAAGTGAACAGATCAGAAGCCTACTTTTGGGGAGAATCTTATTATAGAGAAAAATAAATCTGGCCTCAGATAGCCTCCTGGAGTCTTAACATAGTCCTTGAAACCTCAAACTATTATCAGCAAGAAGCCAGCTCTGAAGGCTGCTGAGGAGAGCACCCTTCCCACTGCGTCCCCTGTGGTCAAGGAGGGGCCTCCAGAAGGCTCAACCAGGATGAATGGAGGGGAGAGGCATCCAGCAGGCCTGCGCCACTGCCTTGGGCCAGGGACCTGCCTCTTTTCTTCCCAGACCTGAGAGAAGACTGCATGTTACTCAGAAATCTTGGATTTTAAGGTGGATGCAGTGACTACATGGGCCTTTGGTTGGCTCTCTTGGGGCTGCTGGTAAACGCATCTGAGAGAAGTAAGATCCATGCAGGTATTGGTTGGCAGGGCGTAGAATGCAGCAGTGCCAGTCAGATTTCCCTGGGGGACCCCTGGCCTGCTTCTTCCAGGGCACTCACTAGACTACATGTCCCAGGCTCCCCGCAGTCAGCTAGGGCCATGCGGCTATGTTCTTCCTACTGGACTATGAGTGACGGACATGTTCCACTTCCAGTCCTCCTGTGCTTCTAGCTGTTTTTGCCAAAGGAAACAAGGTGAACCAGCCTTAATAATACAGAGGACAGGTGAGGACCAAACTGGAAGGTGGGACGAGCCTGGTTCTCTGATGCCTTTCACAGAGGGACACCAATCCCAGGCTGCAATCAGAGGGGGCCATATATTATTGGTTTGAGCCATTACACTTTGAGCTCTGTTTGTTACAGCAACATGGCTTAACCTAATTATTAGAACATTGAAGAAAGTAATAACAAAACTCTGGAGACAACCTAAATATCCAATAAGAGGGGATGGGCTAAATAAATTATGATGCAGCCATATAATCTGAAACTTTTTTTTTTTTTTTTTTGAGACAGCATATCACTTTGTTGCTCCCAGTAGAGTGCTGTAATGTCATAGCTCACAGCAACCTCAGACTCTTGGGCTCAAGTGATTCTCTTATCTCAGACTCCCAAACAGCTGGAACTACAGGCACCCAACACAATGCCTGGCTATTTTTAGAGATGGGATCTCACTCTAGTTCAGGCTGGTCTCGAACTCATGAGCTTAGGTGATCTACCACCTCAGCCTCCCAGCGTGCTGGGGTTACAGGTGTGTGATACTATTTTATTAAAAATAATGGAGTGATCACACTTACTGATGTGGAAAGATGCCTGTGAGTGTCATTGCTCAAGGAGAAAACTGGTTCTATATGGAAGAGGAAGGGAGGGAGGGAAAAGGGAGGAAAAGATCCCTGATCCAGAAGATGTTTTCTCTTACCCTGGCTCGCCCAAAGTTCCTGATTTCCTCAAATTCATCAGATAGACCCTCTGCTTTTTGACATTCAGAATCTGATTGAGGCAGTGGAGGTTCAAACTCTAAAAGCCAAAGTTAAAAAGAACATTACCATTTTTACAGTATATTATAATCCATTAATGCATGGTTACTGTAGAAATGCAATGCCATTTCTACATTTGAGAGTAACCATGTTAAGGTTTTTCAGGAATATTTCTTAGGAATTTTTTTCACTTTCTTTTGCATTGCATTACAATGAATTGTCCTGGTCTGTCTCTATATCCACGCTGTCCTGCAGGGTACTCATGAGACACAGTAGCTATATATATTTATTTAATTTTATTTTTTTAGAGACAGAGTCTCACTTTGTCACTCTTGGTAGAGTGCTGTGATGTCACAGCTCACAGCAACCACCAGCTCTTGAGTTTAGGCCATTCTCTTGCCTCAGCGTCCCGAGTAGCTGGGACTATAGGCACTCACCACAACGCCCTGCTATTTTTTGTTGCAGTTTGGCTGAGGCCTGGTTTGAACCCACGATCTTCGGTATATGGGGCCAGTGCCCTACTCACTGAGCCACAGGCACCACCCTATATTTAAATATATCAAGCTAAAATAAAAGTTAGTTCCTCAGCTGCACCAGCCACATTTCCAGTGTCCCGTGGCCAGTGGCTAGAGGGATGGACACAGAGCGTTTCCATCATGGTGGGAAGCACTACGGGAGGGTGCTCCATAGCTATTCAGTAATGGGGTGGTTGACGGGAGGGCATCCACAGTGCTCCTAGAAGGTCACTAAGAGAAGCAACAAGAAATAGCAAGCAGCGAGTCTGCTGAAGTCCAGAAGATTGGCTATGACAGCACACTGCTGCTCAACAGATCTTATTAGCATGATCTGTAAGACAGAGTATGATCTGCTGAAATTTGTATTCCCTAATGCTGGGAATCCAGGCGATGGGGTCTGAGAGGATTACCTCCAGCCCTGCTGAGCGACCCTACTGACCAGCTGGAGACAACCAGACAAGAGCAGTTGAGCGGGAGAGAAAGGTAATGCAGGCACAGTGGAGATGGCAGTCAGGGAGGTGATGGAGATGAAGGAGGCAGGTGGGGTCTGCCTTGGACACTTGGGCATAGACATGGCTGGGCCTCATCCTGGGAAGGTGCCAGGGTGCTTTAAAAGGTTGGTGATAAGATTTCTTCTCCAAAAGTCACTCTAGTTGCTATGGAGAGGAGGGTGTGAGACTCTAATTATGTTCTTGAGCTGGCAGTGCCCTTGGCAAACTCAGGAATGAGAAGGCAGGGGGTACAGGTTGAGGGGTAAGCAAGGAAGGAGAAACTGTGGGGAGAGAGCAGGCAGTGTGCTTAAAAGCTCGTGGCTCTGAAGACGTGGGAGTAAAGCCATCACAGCCACTGTCACAGCTGGTGCATGTTCCAGAGTGCCTTCTACCTGCTTGGCACCGCTCTCAGCCTTCGTATAAACAGACTCATCTAGTCCTCCTTACGATCCTGTGGGGGGAAGTACTGTTCTTACAGTCATCATTCTCCACAGTATGTTCTATAAAGCTGCCGCTAACATTCAATGAGGGAATCATTCCTAGGGGAAATACGGGGTCAGGTTCCTGCAAGCCTCTGGTCACATTTTCATTAATCGATCAAAACATAACTTTGTTTCATGTATATTTCTGTTTAAAGACACCTTATCTAATATATTGTTGATCCATTGACATTGATCGCAGAACAACAGCACTATCACTCATGCCTGCATGAAGCTTACCTAACACTGATATTTTTTCTGTAAGGCACATCACAGCCTCTTCCTACTTATGTTGGCACTGTGTTTGGGGACCATTTAAAACAGCAAAATACCTAATAAAAAGTCTATAAAAGTATGAAAAAACATGGCACTAAATAGACTGTGAAAAGATAGTTCTGTATACTATGAGAGTAGGAACAAGAAAACAGAGATGCCTTGTTTGACCTTTGCTGGGGGACATGCCCATGGGGGCTCACATATTTAACTGATTTAACTGCTTAGCATATGTCTGCGAAACGACTGCAAAAGTGCTTGGAGTATTGATTTGGGGGTAACACATTTTAGTGAGTAGGCAAATTCACACGTATAGAATCTGCAAATAATGAGCATCAAGTGCACGGGCATTATACACATGAGGAAACCAAGGCAGCAAAGGGTAACATGCTCCAAGTTACGGCCACAAAGTGGCAAGGCTGGGGTTAAACCCAAGCTGTCTTGCTCCAGGGTCAGTGCCACACAGGAAAGAATCACATACCTGGGAATCAGAACAAGTTTCAAATCATCCAGGGAAAAGTGTTTGAGAATGTCAGTTCCCCTCAGAAAATTTCCCTTCTCTCCATGATCCTGGCTTCAGGCAACTATAACACACTACCAAACCCTGGGTGGCTTTTAACCACTGGAAACTTATTTCTCACAGTTCTAGAGGCTGGGAAGTCCAGTATCAAGGCATTGACAGGTCCGGTGAGGGCCTGTTTCCTGGTTCACAGATGGTGCCCAAGGCTGTGGAAGGGGTGAAGAAGACCCCTTGGGTTATTTTATAAGGGCACTAATCTCAATCATGAGGCTCCGCTCTCAAGACTCAATCACCTCCCAAAAGGTCCATCTCTTGCTATCATCACTTTGATGATTAGGGTTCAATATGAATTTTGAGGGAACACAAACATTCAGGTCATAGCATTTATTATTAATCTTTAAGTGATACAGACATTTTATATACCCTTTTGTGTGTATAAACTCATGTAGATTGCCTGTGGAAGACAATAAAAACAAATTTAAATGTAGGGCATAGCTTGCTTATAGGGCCTAAAACCAGCAATAACAAGAAAAGGTCAAAGATGATGGTCCTAGGAAAGTGAATGGCTATCTAAGCCATCCCAGGTATGCAGAAGTGGCTGGAGCAGGAGCTTACTGTGAACTATAATAAAGTCTTAAGCTTCTCAGCCAATTGATTGGACTTCTCTCTTGGCCAAAGGGACCAGAAAACCCTAAACAGTTGAGTTGCTGGCCACAAGGAGAAGAGAGGTTGGATGTTAGACATGGCCCATTATGCCTCTTCCCTTTTGGAGCTAACTTTTTGTAAACAGTAAAATGCTAAATCATTAAAGGCCAATGGTCACGCAAGACAAAGCTTAAACCACACTGCCAGGCCATCAATTTCCTTAACTGATCACCAGAGTTTTACCCAGCTTTTTGCTGATTAACAGACATCCTTAACTTAAAACATTCCCAGCTTTTAGCTTCATTTCTTAAACTAATCAAGGACTCTTTAAACCCACCTACTAGAACCTGTAATTCCCCCACCCATGTTCCAGCTTTTTGAGATAAACCAGTGTAGCCTTCCACATACTGACTTAGGATCTTAACTGTAATTCCTGTGTCCAGGGATGTATGCAAACAAACTGACCCAGCTACCTTGGGTACCTTTTCTCAAAATCTCTTGAAAACATGTACTCTGGGCTTTCATCACACACACATACAGCTCAAAATAAATTTCTTTAAGTTATTTTACAGAGTTTGGGTTATTTATTATATAAGGTTAACATTATAAGGTTATTTACGAGGCAGCACACTATGGGTTGAATATTTATCTCCTCTATCCAGTGTGGCAGCCGCAGCACCTGAGTCTACTAAGCACTAGAAATACGGGGGGTGGGATATTTAATCTAGATTTTAAACTTTAATTTTAATTAATTTAAATTGATAAGAAAGTTCTTGGGAGATTTTAAGTAGTTTGGAATGCCTCAACTATGTGAATCTTCATTTTCAATGAACTCTAAAGATAAACTGAATATTTCCATGGAATCTTAACATCTGAATTGAGATGTCCTGGAAGTATATGAGTATGAAAAAGAATGGAAGATCTCTTATTAATGATTTCAAGATACCGATTACACGTTGGAATGGTATGTTGGATATACCAGGTTAAGTCAATAGGTGTACTGTTGAAATTGATTTCCCCTGCTTCTTTTTACTTCTTCAATGTAGCTACTAGAAAATTTAGAATTATGTATGCGGCTCCCATTCTGTTTCTTTGAAAACGCTGCTCTAGAAGTAGAATTAGTGAGGAGAGAAAATAAGAATGAGGAAGAGGCCTCCAAGTGAATTCAGGTCCTGATGAATTCTGGAAATCAAGAGGGCCTTCAGGATCAACTTCAGGACAGTCAAGGATTTAAAATAATTAAACAGGACAGTGGCTCCTGTTGCCACTCAACCCCACGAGTACCTAAGATGTGCAGGGGAACATGAAGCATAAGCAGGTTAAACACATGTGATTAATTTAATATGCAAAAAAAAGAGGCCCACCCTCCTGTTAGTTAGCAAACCCAGTGTGCAGCTGGCGGCCAGCAGCCAGGTGTTGGGTGTTCTTCTGAGTCAACAGCCTTTAACAGCCAGCAGGTACCATCCAAAAAATGACACCATTACTTGTTACTCTCCTAAATTAAAAACTCTGCTGACAACTCATGATGCCGTGACAGGTAGTGTGGGAGCCCAAAGCCAGAGCGGCACGGATCGACCCAGTATTAACATGTGCTTTCCCACAGGGAGCTCAGAGGCATCAAGGCCACAACGGCCTATTTTTTCACAGAAGCTGAGAAGTCCATGTGCTAGGCCTCAACTTTATTTAAACACAGTGTGGGCCAAATAACACGCGTCAGTGGGACGTTTAAGTACAAACTCCGGAGCTCAACACACAATGCGTGTTGACTCTCCCGCCTCCTTCACTCCCAGTACACGCGGTGCACTCGCCGCTCGGAACGGACCTCCTCCCCTCCCGGCCTTTGTCCCAGCTGTTCCCTCCTCCGAAATGCCTTTACCACTCTCGGGACGTCTTTAAGACCCCAATTAAATGCCGCGTCCCTCCCTCTGGGAAGTCCAGCTCAACCTCACGGCCATGCTTTGGGCTTCCTCCTTTCAAGTCTGGGAGTAACTGGGTCAGACATTTCTCTGCATCCCCAAGGGAAGGATGGGGACCTAATCTGAACTGCTGAAGACTTGATATATGCTAATCTAACTTAATCCTCACACCGGCTTCAAAAAATGGGTGTCACCCTTTAATCTCCTCTTCACAGACAAGCCCCGCCTCAGAGGGGGTTGGGGGGAATCCCTCGAGGTCACGCAGGCGGAATTTGGAACAAAGATCGGGTCATTCTTTAAAAGCCAGAGCCCTCGCTGCTCTCGCTACAGCGCAGCCCTGACAGTTTCACCTCCGTCTGCGACAGCATTTCGTTCATGAAAACCCGGGCTCGAAAATACTGCATGTTTATACACACATGTTTAGCCACACTGTATGAACACACGTAACACACAGGGGCGTGCATCTCACAGTATACCCCATGTCTCAATAATACTTAAACTTAAGTTCTCGCAGAGCCAGTCACAGACCCCTCGGAAGCGATCCGGCCACCTGTCCTGCCACCGCCTGCGCAGTCTCCCGCAGTCGTCTTGCAGGACAAAACATCTCTCCTCATTAGAGAGCAGAAGTCGGTGCAAACGAAACCAGGAGAAGGGGAAAAAGCGCGGCTCCCAAGTTGTGTGTAGGCCGCTGCCGCCAGGCCCGCGGAGGAGCCCGTCCCGCGGCCACCCGGTCCCGCGTCCCCCGCCCGCGCAGCCGGCCCGGCGCGTCCCCAGCGTGCGGCGTGCGGCCCGGCGCGGGTACTCACGGCGTAGCGGGGCGCGCGGGCCGCGGAGGTTCCGGCGCGGAGGCCCCGGCGGCAGCAGAGCTGGGCGGACTCCGCCGGCCGAGGGGCAGGGGTGAAGGCCTGGGCCGGGCCTGGGAGCGCCCACCGGGGCAGGAGACCCGCAGCTGCGCGGCGCCCGAGCGTCCACATGCTGCGCCGGGTCTGCGTCCGCTCCGCCCTCCCGCGCGCGGACACTACGGCGACACCTGGTGGCCACAGGCCGCAGGCGCCCGGGTTCGGCTCCGGCGCTCTCCTGCGGGGGAAACAACCAGAGGTTAGGCCTCAGGAAAAACTTCCCAGCATCGCGCTTTCCGTGCCTGTAACAAATACCGAGAGCCTACTTTGTGCAAAGCATGGAGCGTAACCGAGGCTCCTGCCCTCACGGAGAGTTCAGCCTGGTCTCCACCGCTTCTGACATTCCGTACGGGAGGGATCTGGGACTCACTGTCTTGCTGGCAAGTGGGTGCACGGTCGGTCTCGCTGAAGCTGCTCGGCCTCCCGTGTAGGTTACAGGAGTCAGGCACGTGCGGCCAGGAGACTTCTGCCTTGTTTGAATTTGGCTATATGACCAGTGGGCAAGTGAATTAGCCTCTTTGTGCCTTGTCTATAAAATAGGGTTTATAAAAGTTTCTTTGAATTAATCTATGTAAAGTGTTGTGAACGGGGCTGTATCTCTGTTAAGTTTACAATGTTAGTTATTAATAGGTTATAAGAGAAAATTTTACATAGGATACATATTGCAAAGGAATACAAATTGTGAGTCATCTTTCCATTTGATATATATACTTTAGAAAATGCCAGATGTGAGCCCAGCTCACTTGTGTGCTCTTATAGACCCAGCGGAGGTTACAGTGAGCTAAGATCATGCCGCTGCATTACAGCCTGGGTGACAGAGGGAGACCTGAAAATAAACAAAACAAGCCAACAATGAAACAAAGTTGGCTCAGCGCCTGTGGCTCAAGTGGCTAAGGCGCCAGCCACGTACACCCAAGGTGGAGGGTTCGAATCCAGCCAAGCCCGCCAAACAACAATGACGGCTGCAACCAAAAAAAAAATATATATATATAGCCAGGCGTTGT